GTCCCTGAAAGACACTTAAAAGGAGCAGAAAACAACTCGGCTTAGTAGAACAGCCTCTGTTCCACCTGGTACCAGCTTAATTCAACTCGCCTCATTTGTTTTTCCATCAAATGTTGGGAATAGTACCCGGTACTATTTTTGGAATCACTGCTGTCGAGGGTCGAAGTGAGCAGAGGCATTATCAAATGGTGACATGTAAATACAGCAGACTAGCGATTGCTCAGAAATTGCATCAACACGAGAAGTCCTGGAACAAAGAATGCACCATTTTGAAAAGCAGTTATTTAATGCTAACCACTTTACTAACTCAAAACAGCCATATAACAAGAATCTGGAGCAGCATACCTTCAATGTCCTCCACGGTTACTGTGTTAATGTGGTGTTGCCATGACAACCAGCTACACTGAGAGGGGACCGTCTGTAGTGGAAAACAAAGCGCCTGGTACCAAAAGCATGTAGAGTCGAGTCCGTATCAAGTGATGGAAAAGCGCCTTTAGACAGCTCTGACCTGGACATTAAGTTTTCACCCCAAAAGCAGATGAGGTGGCAGCATCTCTTCTTGGAGACAGCAGAACAGCTTTTGGTAGTTTAGCATCTTGTGTTTAGTTCTAGTTCTTAAAAATGAAAAAGCTATAGTGCAACCATACAAGTGCCCTCGAAGTCAGTTCTCAAACAAAATACTACCTTAATAACAAACTGACAAGCATTAAGTAGGCTGAAGACCAAACTGAGATTTAAATGATTTATTAGTTAAGAAATGATACAAATGTGTTAATTTTCTCACTAACATTCTTTCCAGAAGAAATCTGCCAATGCCTGACACTTTAAACACAAAAGGGGGAAAAGTTTCTTCAGTAAACTGCATCCCTACATACATCAGTTTGTTAAACCACAATAACAAAAGTTTGGTTAGAAGCATGTTTGTACATGTGGTGTTTGCGCACACACAAAAAAAAGAAGTTGGCACTGGTTAGATTCGGCTTACGCTGCTTGCTCCTACTTTTAGTTTTATTGGTAAATCAGCAGTGTATAAAAATATATAAAAAAAAAAAAGGCCATTTATGAATCAAAAAGCAATCCAGCTTGTTTAAAATGACAAAAAGCCGACTGTTTCAGGTCGCACTCCGATTAAGGCTTCAAACAACCGACCCTTAACATGCGTGAGCAAAATTACATTTCCACAACAGAAATCTTAAATAAAATTTTACTTTGAAAAGCCTATCACCACTCCATACCACCACCTTCCAAAGTAATCAGAAGAAGCCAACTCTTCTAAAAACCCTCACCAGAATTAACAAACCTTTCAGTTCCAAGAAGAACAAAAGCACTAAATGTGTATTAAATGTTGGCATGTGACAAAAATTGAGAAAGAAACCAAATATATACAGCAAAAAAAAACAAAAAAACAAACATATGTAATATGCAAAGGCGACATGTTGCTTTGGGCAACCCCCCACCCCACCCACCTATCAGTCTTCACTGAAGACCCCTCAACCCAACATCCTAATCCCCACCCACACATATTCGCTCATACACACAGAACATCACGAAACACGATTACGTCACTAAGCCTGTTAGTTTGGAAACGAGGTGAAGCACTGGAACTCCCATCTCCCTCTCTTCCCCCTCTTTAGTCAGAGAGGGCAGACAGGGCCTTGGCACAGTCGTTCCACTTGTCCGTCTCAGGGTTGTAGACCTCCATTGTATTGAGGAACTCGTTGCCATCAAAGCCACCCACAGCGTAGATGGTTCCACCCAGCATGGCCACGCCTGCGTTACTGCGTGAAGATGTCATGCTACCCAGCATCCTCCACTCGTTGTGGGCAGGGTCGTACATCTCCACACAGCGGAGGGCGTGGGAGCCGTCAAAGCCGCCGACAACAAACAGTTTGCCTGGAAACAGTGAGAAACATCAAACCTGTCAGAATTACTGCATTATGCAAAAGAGGGAAAAAAAAAAACCTTCACTTAAATTTGAATTTTTTTGTCTGGAAGCATCAAGTCACTGATTTGTTCCTTGCGCTTCAGAAGCTCCCATAGAACTGCAACTCGCAGAGGCAGTATTTAATTCCAGTGTTTCCATCATACCATGCATTGTCATGGGCCTACCTGCATGGACGGCAACGCCGGCCCCCCTGCGAGCCACGTTCATGGGGGCTATCAGGGTCCAGGTGTTGTTCTCTGGGTTATAGCGTTCCACACTGTTCAGGCAGTTCCACGACTCCGCCCCTCCAATCGCATACATGAAGCCATCCAACTCACACACCACTACCTGGTGCCTCCCTGAAAACACACTTAAATTAATGCCAACTTCTCATCTTCCTTCTGGCTACAAGAACAGAAACTTTTCTCTGGCGGACTATGATCCTACTTTTGGTCTCATTCTGAAATGTAATTCGCTGTCCGCTCCAACAATCCCTTTTTTCCCCAGAAAGAATAATTAAAGGATCACTTACATTAAACATGTGTTAGCCAAAAACATTTATCTTTACACCTGTGGTTTAATGCTATGTGTATCAATTGTAATAAAATGTTTTGCTGAGTGTATGAGTGGGCACGCACTGATGTTAAGGGAGGCACAGTTGGACCAGGTTTTGGTCACAGGGTCAAAAGCGTCACAGTTCTTCAGGCCCTTCTGCCCACAGGGGTCTGACCCTCCCACAACATAAAGTTTGTTGTTCAAGGAACAGACACCTTTAAACACAGCAGAGAGTAAGGAGTTAATTAGTTAAAGGAGTTACCTCATTTTTCTTTAGAGGTTATTATATGCAACAGTAAGTTAATGAGTCCTCACAGGAGGGTCTCACCTGCATTGCAGCGGTTTGTCCTCAGCTCTGGCACTTGAGCCCACTCATCAGCGTGTGGATCGTATGTCTCCCCGCAGCTCAGCTCATCAGAATGTCCATTTGAACCCCCAATCACATACAGCTGACCCTGTGAAGGGCGTAAATGAAAAAGTCATTCAATGAAACAACCACCTGGCACTTACCCCCATGCATCTGAAGTCTGGTCGTTTTGTAAATTTAACCTACTAACGAATGAGGAATCATAAATATACATTATATTCTTTAGCGATGTAAAAGCCGGCACACAAACAAATCTATACATGGCAGCCCAACATTATATATTAGCAAGTAAAATAGGTTGCAATTTAAAACTTGCATCATATGCAGTCATCATTATTGATTTTTAAATGCTCAGAAATATGTTCCCATCCCTCTTTTGCATTTGATTACTGATAAGTATTCTTGGTCAGGTACACCCCTAGTTTGTAGTTCACACAGAAGCAGGCTGCAGCAAGTGTGTCATAACGTTGATATGCCAGTATGTTTATTTTTGTTTGTTGATTAATGCAAAATGCAACCTAGTAACAGAGAAATTTGAGACTGTCATTTATAGCAGCTGGCTAACCACAGCACTCAGGGTGCCTGCTGGCGAAAAGACCAGAGATCATGTTTCCCCTGAAGTCCAGAAAACCCACGAACCAAATTTGAAGCACCACAAATCCAGTCTGCTGGAGCTTCTTTAAAACAGATTTTTTTGGGATCCAATACCACCACCCACCCCTTCAGCAGAGGAATATGAAAACAGTCTGTTAGTAACAAAACTATGCAACTACAGCAGTCAGTCTAGTCGTGCAACGTTATTTATGGGTTATAAAAATAAACATTTTTGAGTGAAGTCAGTCTTTTAAGATAACTTGCCTTTCAAGATGAAATGTATGTTCTTGGTCTCTGATTTTATGAAATATATTTCCCCCAAAAAGTGCGACTTATAGTCCAGTGCGACTTATATATGTTTTTTTCTTCTTCATTATGCATTTTTTGGCTGGTGCGACGTATACTCAGGAGCGACTTATAGTCCGGAAAATACGGTATTTGGACAGGGATTTGGTATGTATGTGTTTGTACAAGACACCCGTTTAAACAGTGTACAGGTGCACCCCAAGGCCAATACTCAGTGTCAGTTTATTGTAAAGTCAACAAATCTAAGATAAAGATGACTATCCAACCGTACCATGAGAACAGCCATCTGGAATCGAGCCCTCGGAGTCCGCATGGGCGCAATGAAGTTCCAGCGGTCCTCTATGGGGTCATAACATTCCACAGTCCTCAGACACTCCTCTCTGTTGTAGCCTCCTGCAGGATCGAGATTATGCACCAAGGTCAAACTTAGGATGTGCCGTGTTGCCTTTTATAACATAATCCCCCATATTTCAGCTGAAAGTAAATTGGCAGCCTTACTAAAACAGCTTAAGTTTGACAAAGACCAAGTTTCGGCTCAGGCTACACAAGGTGAAGTGAGCACCTCCAGGTTAGTTTGTCACTGTATATTTAAGCGCAACTACACCCTCAGTTATTGAGCTGTATACTTAATCACATGGACCTTTGTTGGCTTATGATGTCCAGATGGTTTTCTAAACAAAATTTATACTGTGTATAATCCTGTTTAGCACCCACCTACTGCAATGAGTCTTCCATTCAGGGCTACGGTGCCCAGGCCAGAGCGCGCATAATGCATGGGTGAGAGCGGCTGCTCCTCCAACTCCTCAGGCTGGGCCTCGAAGCTGAGGCTCTTCATCAGGCAGGGGGTGGCAGACGGAGAGGTCTGAGGACTGCTGCGACTACGCAAAAAGATCACACACAGCACACCATCCAGCACAGCCAGACACAGGTAGGTGTTGTCTGCAGGAAAGATTTAAGATAGTTAGTCACTTGAGGGGGGAGAGAAAATTTGAGATTAAGTTCATAACTGTGGAGAAAAATAACCAAATCTAACTCTACTAGTCTGTGACAAATAATGTAGTTTATAAACTCTTACCTGTGGTCTTCTCAGAGGCGATGTACTTCCACTCTCTCCTGGCAGTTTGTTTGGGGGCATTTGCTGCTTGGTTGGAGGGTGACGTGCTTCCTGAGGAGCTGCAGCTCATCTGTCTCTGGGTGCTCTCCCGTACAGGTTTCTTCTGTAAGAGCACAGTGCAGCTACAGAAGCCAAGCTTGCGCCACAGGCCTTCCACAGTTGCCTACACCAGCGTATCCTACCCAACCCTACACTATGATCCAGCTTGTTTAAAGCGGACATGACATAATGAACCATGTCCAACTATGTAGTGAAATCTTGCACCATCTGAAGGCAACAGAACTGCAGTCTACAGTCTCAGACCACGCTACAATCAGATCTTACAGCACACGCTTCAGTAACTACAGAGGGTACACAAGCAGGAAGAGCCATCACTGCCCATGTTCAACAAGTTGAGATTGGCTTAAAAATCTAAATGTGGTTTTAATATACTCAACAGCATAGCCAGGCAGGCATCATAGCTCATTTCTTGCTAACCCACACACATTAGTTGATACTTTATAGCTAAAATTGTGGTATTAAATGAGCTGTATCTTCATCTAGCCGGGCACAGGCTGGGCAGTATTTTTATGCATGGCCAGGCACAAGCTGTACAGTGAAGCTACACGCTGCCAAGTCTACACAGACTGCGGTAGAGACTTCATTACAGTGAAGCCAGGCACAAGCTGTTGAGTACCTGCACAAACTGGAGGTGGTCCTCCTCGCCACCAAACACCTCAGTGTGCCCCTCAATCAGCAGCCCTCCATCCACCAGCTTATGGTCAGGTGAGTAGTACAGCGTTTGCACCTGAAAGACAAACAGCAACAACACACCCATGTGGCTGTCTCCATGGCAACACACAGAGCCCCAGCATAATGGGGAGTAGGGGAGAAGGAGGGAGGCAGAACTGTGAAGAAGAATGGGGGAAGGGAGAAAGGTCTGGATCTTCAGTTGCTTGAGTCCTTTAAAAAGACATGTTACCACTGCAGAGTGGCACAAGAAGGTATCGGACAGTGGCTCTCCTTAATTTGCATGTCAAAAAAAAAAGAGGGAGCTGGTGAAGAAGGAGAAGCTGCATCTGGAAAGATCTTCTCTGAAGAATGAAGAGGGGGGGAGGGGGGCTGCATGTGGGCCTCTTTCCGCCGGCTGCTTGCAAACTGCTCCTCTAGCTTAGGAGGTTTGTCACTGTGATGGCTACGACAAAGGCTGTCACAGTAGCACCGTTTTTACAACTATCAAGCTAATGCTTGAATGTCAGCTCATAATATGTTAAACCCAACCAGAAGTAAAGGCAAAACCACATGTTCTGTTGAGGCCAGACAAATACAGTGAGGAAATGTGTTGAAGTCACTCAGCCGCTCATTTCAAGGGAAAGTTTTAGAAGAGAAAAGCAAAAAGCTCCTGTGATATTACTGAGAGTTGCTGGAAATGTTAAATTCACCTGGAAGATTAATAATTAATTTGTAGTCCAATGAAATTATATTCAACCAATCACCATGTGCAATGCTGTTTTCTGTCCAATGCCTAATTTGAGTGGTTTTTGAATGTGCCAGTGGATAGGTATGCCTGTATGAGAATATACAATTACATGCAGCAAAGGGAAACTGAATTTGATGCATTTCTTGCTAAAGGTTTATGAGCTATGTGTTGTCATAAATGCAGAAATGGGATGCATCTGTATGTGTAGCATGGACAGATGGAAGCACAGTGTTGCTTGGCTGCAAAGAGAGGCTGCTGAGAGGCAGTAGCACTCCTCTCCTCCCCCTCTTTTCTCTGACTCATTACCCCGGTGGCCCAGTCCTGGCTCCTCAGTCTGGTCTCCTGCTGCTGCTGCTACTAACCTACAGGAGAGATAAATCAATGGGGAGGAGTGCCTGTTAGTGCTGGAGCAACAAACAAGCACCTGTTCAGATAGTATAGTGGCAGTGAGACAGCAGAATCATAGATCAGACCTTAGACAACCTTCGGTTTTCTGTTTCAGAGGAGAAGAGCACTGTAATACTGAGATTGGGTTGTATGTAAACCAAACACACACCCAAAGGAGAACAGCGGAAACAAAACAAAACAAAAAAAAACGAGCAAGCAGCACCTCTTTTGAGCTCACCTCTACTTTGTAGTATGGTTCAGGGGTACAGAGTTTCTTACTGCAAAAACTCAAATCAGAGGGGAAACAAGAACAATCCTGACATAGCAGCATGACATTGGCATGCCTAGTTCAGCCCCCTTAATGACTTTTTTACGTCAAAAACAGGAGGAGTTGGGGGGGCGCAGTAATGAAGATCTGGGGTGATAATTGCATTCCCTGGTACTGACCTCCTCCATCAGTCGTTCCAGTTGGTCTCCGTTCTCCCAAAGGCTACGCTGCACCCAGCTGAGCACCTTCGAGTACAGCTTGCCGTTGCTGGGTAGGGTCAGGTTGTCTTCTACCATTACTTCTAACTGGAAACACACAAAGGGGGTGAATCAGGAGTTAGATTCATACACAGCACAAATAAAGGGAATGCATAACTGATGAAATTAATACCATGGCCTTTAATGCACACCAGGAAACTTGAGCTTACTGGCTGATTACCAGTTTACCTGAGCCTGGGCAACATTTGATTTGTTACTTTGATTGCTGGAAATATGCAGGGATAGCAAGGTGACAACTAAAATGCATAATGGCTGCCTATGAAGGTTTTCATTATTAGTGACTAGAAGGGTATTTAAACATCCCAAAAGAAAGACTGATTTGACTTGTCCCATTTAATTAATTAGAATACTAGCCATTGGATTTTTTTTTTTCTAGAGCAAAGAAACTACTAAATACTTTGACATCTATGCAAATTCAAGCAGTTACCTTGAGGCGGGGAAGTTTGAGGAAGTCCTCCTGTTCAGACACTTCCAGCAGATGGTCCTGGATGAAAGCATCCACCTTGGCCAAAACTCTGCCGTCTACCATAGAGCTGGCAAAGTTACGAAAGGAGATGGCGTTCTGGGGATCCATCTTAGACAGCAGGTAGTCACCACAAATCTGTGGAGGGAGAGCTATTAGAGTAAATTACATAGTTTATTTCTACATTTTGAAGTTAATACTCTCTCTTTAGCGCTCCCCCAGGACGTCTGTCTGGATTTGAGGCACACAACAATATACCTGTTTGACTCGCTCCATCTTGAACCTTTTGGCTGCAGAGTAAACATCCTTGACCAGCTCTTTGTCTGCCTTTAGCCTGTATTATACCCAGAAAATAAATAATGTTAATATTTAAAAGTTATTAATTTTATAATGAAAACTTGCAGTGACAACTAAAAGGTCAAAAGGTGCCACTGACTGAGCAGTATAGGCATAGTTGAGCAAGATCTCCACTGCCTCTGGGTCCAAGTCCTCAAAAGTGACATGAGAGACTCCATGAGGCTCGGCGTCACTATTAAAGATCTCAAACAAGTAGGGGCTGCAGCAAGCCAGAACAGCACGGTGAGCCATCAATTCATGGCCACACACCTGGCGAGAGAAGACAACAAGCACTTCAAATTAGCTGAAGAGAACTAGTTTGACAACTGCAACAAAACACTGTGTCAGGGTCAATTGAAACATGCTCTTCATTTTATCCCTTACTCACACATGGCCCGGGTCGTGTGTGTGTTTGCATTAAACCATACCTGCAGTCTAACATCGCAGAACTGGCCAGTCTTTCTCAGAGCATTCATTTTGGCCACGGTGGAATCCAAGAAACTCTCATCCTGAAAGGTCAAATAACCGTTTGGGATCATCTTGGTCAATTTTGATGGTGTGTCTGCGGAGGAAAGATAAGAAATATATTCATGCTGAGAAAAGCGGTAATAGCTGGATTTATTAACTGATAACAGAGAAGATTATAGAGTAAGGTGCATGTGATGTGCAAGGTGTATTGTAATCTGCCCTATGCACTAGTTAAGGTCTTACGTGATCAAGAATAATGCAAATCCAAGAAAGCACCACAGCTAGAGCAGGAACCAAAGGTAGGCAACAGGTGAAGCAGACCAAGATCACAGAGGTACTAAGTCTTCTTCACCCAAGGAGAGGGAAGGGAACTTGTCAGAAGAAATGCCAGTTGACTACACAGACGTGAGCAGAAGAGAGAAGGGGGGCAGTCGCACGGGCAAACTATCAGGCTTGAAGTGACTGTAATCAAGTCCTCGGGATCCCGTTGGCTATAGAGTTGTACTTATTCTGTGTTGGTCGTACATTATAACCTAGAGGAAAACAGAAAAAAGGGAAATTATTTTTTTAAGCACAGAAAGAACAAATGACTCATAAGGAATTGATGCCGTCTGTTCTTTGGACACAAGCGACGCCTGCATGAGCCAGTTCCTTGTGGTAAATCAAGAAAAGCTTGTGCACAGGATGATAGTTAAGAACACTGCCTTCCTTCTTCTTCACAGGCCAAACATTTGCACAGCAGTAAAGCTCACATGGCTTCCATATTCCACCTATGCATAAAAATTTCAAGAATAGACTCAACTAACTCAGGATACACAGCATTATCCAAATGTGCTGTAGGGGCACACGGCACTGGCAGCTAAGCTCATGCATGTGCCCTGCTCTCATTTAGCACCTTTAAATCTCCACACCTGCTGCTACATCCCACCAGGCCAAGCAAGACTGTTAATTCATCTCATGCCTTCAGCTCTATTTCTACTCTCTCCTGAGGAAAGGCCACTCCATCGCTGTCCAATGCCATTAGCCCCTCTGGCCAGCTCCTCCCTGTAGGAACCCATTCATTAAACGCTGACCTATAGGAAAAGGTAGGAGGGAACAACATTTCCATTGCCAGACGCTTCTGAGACAGAAGGACGGTCTGTTTTTTTAATGCAACTGCCTGACTGCACTCTGGATTCTGGTTGGCCTCTTAGGTACTAAGTACTCCATACACCCTGCAACTGTAGCCCACAAGCTCCACCCAAATTTACATGTCACATCCAGAGATCAATCCATCTCAGGATACTTTATTCTGCATTTGGATTTCACTCATTATAAAGCCCTGGATAGTGCAAAGGAAAACACTTGTACCAACAAAATCGTCACATTAGAAGATGACACAATTTACATTAATTCTGCATCTAACCACATCAACATCAGGCCATCTGCAGGCTGTAGCACTATAAATAAATTACATGGTAATCCCAACAGTTTTATTACCATCTCACTTGGGGAGAGAAGACAAGGCCGACCACAGTAGCTGCCCCACAGTCCAAAACCGTATCCACACTCCATGTGCGGCTTTTGTGGGTAGCAAAGCTTAGTGCAAGTTTCCACTTACATGTAATTCTAACTCATTAAAAAAAAAAAGCTTATGAGCTGCTGAACATAAAATGTACTCCTTACCGTAGCTGCTGTCAGTGGTACATTTCTAGTACCGGGGCATGATTCACTGTGTGAGATTTTCTACATAAAATCCTCTAATTTGTTGGCAAAAATATCAGTACTTGCAAGTGATTCAGCCTGAAAGGGCATAACATAAATTTCTGCTCCTCAAAAAAGTATGACAACCTTCTAGTTATGAGAACTAGAAACAAAAGCTTTATTATTAAAATTATTTTTTTTATCTCTTGGAAGATGAACACTTCAGGCCCATTTGCTCTGTACACTGCATGGTTTCACTTCAGGATAGAGGGTTATCTTCTAGCACAATGTAACACAATGTTAAATGTTACACAATGTAAGACCCATACAAGGTATACAATCACATTCTTGCAAACAACAAGGTCACATCACAATGAATTGAGTGTTTGAGATTTTTAAATCTAGAGATGCTCGTTAAATAAATACCAAATATATGTGTGTGCCGGCATGAAAAGATGTAATTCACACTGCCTGTGTGTGGATGGAGGAACACGCTGACCCAGTTTTGAATCATTACGCAATATCTGGCAAAAGAGTCCTTGTGGAGGCTCAAGTCCTCGATTCTGTCCACCACACTCGTCTGCTGCCTTGTTTTTCTCTCATTCCTCCAGCCAACACTGAGCCACACCCTCAGCTCTCTAGATACTTCTTTAGCACAGAGCTGCTGCTTTGGTCACAGATTAAATAATCCTCTGTAAACCGATAAAACAATCTTACACCATTACCAGTTGACGTCTGCATGGCCACATGAAAACTGCTGTGTTACACTTATCACCCGCCGATTATCGTCTCCGGGAAATGGTCACCCTTTTAATCGCTTATGGGGACAAGATTCATGACCAACATTTACCAACTGATTAATCAGACACAAAGGTGCAGGTCTGACACTGAACAATCAATGCTTGTTAGATGCCAGTGGTGAAGAGAGGCATAGGCGGATATCTTACCCCAGTCTTTGTGTGGAAATTTGCCATTTTCTTATTGAACTAATGGAGTGACATTAAAGAATAAAGGCAATAAAACAGCAGAAGGGAAACACTGTGCAGATTGAAAAGGATGAAAAAGTCAAACATGATTTGAGAAATCAGAATCAGCAGAAGGGAAACACTGTGCAGATTGGAAAGGATGAAAAGGTCAAACATGATTTGAGAAATCAGAATTCCCCCCCCCTTAAAAGCTCGGGCAAGTTGGAAAAAGTGTGAATATTGTTACGCCTTAAAGTGCATGATAAATGATTTATTTTCTTCTTTATAAAATCATTAATAGTTCATCAGCGTTTTATTCGGGAATATTCCATGTACCTTCAGTAAAGGATTAACAGGCCAGTAGGTCAAACTGTACCATGCTTAAACGAACGGGCCTGCAGCCAGAAGACACTACACTATGTCAATACTTATAAAATGACACAATATGGCACCTAAAGGACAAGATGTAACGTTACACATGGTGCCCCTGGTGGGCAAGTCTTACAACAGGAAAATCAACTCAAATTTCCTGCAGACAATACGCACACTTCAGCTTCCTAGGAAAGCAGCAGTTATTTAGCTGGAGCCAAAAGCTTGTCACCTGAAGAGATACGGAGATGCTAGGAAGCTAGTGCGTGTTAGCATGTTAGCCTCTTAGCCAAGCAACCTGCTGCTTACCTAGTGACTGGGAACAACGAGACGGACACGCCGGCCTTTGACTTGCTTAACTGAACCACGGAGAGTACAATCAGTCGTTTGCCCATGTCTGTCCTCAACATAAGCTGGCAATGTGACCTAAAGTAGCTAATCTCCGCGCCATTAACTAACGTTTTAGCTGTAAGGTTATGCGGGAAGTGGCGGGCTGTATGTCATTGTCCCCGCCAACAAGGAGCATTGGTACCGCCATGCCCGAGCGCAAACAAACAGCTGCTACCCATTTTAAGCACAAATTTGATATCTAGTTAGAAAACAGCTGCAGCAGTAGTATTCACCATTACCAACAACAGATTTAACCGCTTTGCCACGTTAACAGCTGCTCGCCAAAGACAAAATATCAGCCAGCACCATTTTCTCTTTAACATGTGCAAGGAGAGAGGGAAAAATCTTACCTGAGGGTTGTGACAACAAATCATAGTAGACATATTTAATGCGAATTCAGAGTTGGTTGGTTCGTATTAGAACAAAGACGCAGCGTGGCTACAGGCGCAGCTTTCCGGGGGCAGTATTAGGCGTTTGTTCCCTCTTTGTAGGAGAAGCACAACCACTGTCTGCGTACCCTGAACTAGGTCTGACGACAAAGTGGTGACGGAGAAGCGCGCTCCGGACAAAAGCTATGCGCATGCCACGCCGCCAGTGACGCGGCTTCAGAGGGCGGATTACTCCGCCTACCCTCCACTATGAAGTGATGAAATCCAGGTTGTTGGCAGCACCTTGTTTTTAGCGGTGCCCTCCGAGTCGAGACTACTTTTACTTAAGTAAAATATCTGAGTACTTCTTTCACCACCTCTAATGGTGCACACAGTCACTGGTGAAAGAAGTAGGCCTGCTTACAAAGAGCGGAGATTCACAGCTTATAAGACTGTCTTAGCATACAAAACATACTGAAACCGGTTTTTCTTGTTGCAATAATTCCTCCTGCTGCACCTTCCTCATGTGCTGTCAATAGAAGTGTTAATGGACAAAACTCAGTCCTTCTATTCAAAAATACTTCTCAAAGCTGTTCTGAATGTATATGAAAGAAATAGCTTTCAAAGCTACAACTTTTTCATCTTTCCACTGCAGCTCAACAAGAAAAGGGGAGTTTTTATACTAAAACACTAATGTTGGGAGATTTTATCTTTTTTTTACTTAGACAAGGTTCATCAGCTTTTTCCTTATCATGTCTTTTATTTCTTTTACATTGAGTGTCTTCTGTCTTTTGAATGCAAGTGCCAGATTTATTTTCCATTTGTCATATGCATATTTGTGAGTCGTGATAACATACCGGAATGAGTGGTATATTTGATGTCCATTAAGAAGGGACATCCAGGTTAAGCCTCTCTGCTACTGTGCATACATCGCCATTGTTGTACCCGGTACTTTTTACCATACTGACTCTGAGAGACAAGACAGTCCAAGTAACTTCAAAACAGTGCTGATTTATTCCATGAACACAGGTAAAATTAACATTACACGCTCAGGTATCTTGCACCTCCAACCTGCACGCAGGCAGATGTAAGATGAAAGACCCTGAACCCACCAGGCCTATACATTATATCCCCTCGGTTGGGCTAGCCCCATACTACACAGAAACGTCAACCGAGACGTCTCTGTTACCAGCTGTGCAGCTGGCCATAGCAGTAGTCAAAACATGAAGCAAATCAATGTGCATGTGTGTGTGTCTGTTGATTAAGTGGTGTGTAGCTAAAAACATTCTCACGACCTCTAGTAACATGTCGTGATATTAAACATAAGAACATATTATGGCTAAGGCTACAGTTATACACGTCGTAATAATAATATTAAACACCCTGTCTGCTGACAGTCATCAACTCTTCTCCCTAGTTATCCTTGACCAGATGTACCCTGTAGAAACTCATAAGCATGCCTAAGCATTTAACAGTCTAACTAGACATCCTATCTCCACTAAACATTTCTAATACATAAAGTATCTATCCAATTTCTATCTGACTAAAAATACCTAACACCATAGAGAAAGAAGAATTCTTTCACCTGCCCTGACTGAATAGAGCTTAGCACTACCTCAGTATGTCAGTAATTAGATTAGAGGATGGGAATAGCTTCAGTACCAGTGTATCAGCCAGTGTACATGGTGAGTATGTGTGGCCAGGTATTACTTATGTTGTGGGGAGGTAAATCTGTTTGCACAGTCACATTATGGGGACAAAAAGCAAGTCCCCAAAATGTAAGCCATTAAATATTAGAGTGATAACTTGGTTTAAGGTTATGGTTAAGTGTGTGTGTGCTTGTTTGTATTAGTTTCTATGTAATGTAACAAAACTCAGTGACAGTAGCACAAGACCATTAAAAGCACACTGACCACTGTGTTGAAAACCACAGTGAAAACGATCAAAGCCAGTCCAGTCACCACAGATTAAGTTTATCAACACAAAGTAATCTCTTCATATCAGCCCTTGTACTGGTATTATCACCAGAATATGTTTTGCCTCCATCCATGTGAAGGTGACATTCCTGACAAGGTGAAAGAAGTTACTGCTAGCTCATGGTCAGGAAAATGAATGACTGGTTGCCACAATTGGACATTAGCATCATATTTCACCTCTCTTTCTTCCTTTCTTTCTGTCTTTTAATACAGTCAGGTCAGGAAACAAACAAGGTCATATCACAGATCTGAACACATTTTAAGGTCATATCACGGATGTTTTCAGCACAACAATTTGAAGGTGATACTTTGCATGCCATCACTGATCTCTGTATACAACACAGTGTGATTGCAAAACACATTATCATAAGAACTGTAATGTAAAAACATATAACTGCGTCTTAAATTAATGAATTACATAGTGTAAATCCAAAATCAGCACAGCTTTCTTCATCTCAGAGCTTGTCATTGAAATTTTGTTTTGCAAAAGCTCAGCTGCGCTGTCATCCCTTTTCAATATTCTCCTGACTGCAGAATGAAGGCTCCCTGACAAGCAGTCAGTCCATTGTCATAGTATATGCCTGGAGCCTCAGACACAAGCATGGTGATAAAATCTGGTGGCCTATGGCCAATTGATTCACCCTGATGTATTAATTGCCTAAGGAGGTGTTTTTATATGAACTGCATGGTGACCAAATCATGGAAAGAAGCTGAAAATCTTGAAAAATGAAAAACTGGTGTCCAGCCTGCTGTTGTATTACATTTAATTACACGTAGATGCAGAGGGACCCAACTTGGAATAAACATATTGCGTGCAGCTCAGGTAGCATGTCTGTGTTTACATGTGCAATTACCATTTTCATGACATGCACATCACATTGCCTTTTTACCAAGCAGCAGCCTGTCAACTTCATGCTGGCAGGTGTGTCTTGATGAAAATGGGGTGTGTCCAGGTAAATTTGGGGCACATTGGTAATATGAGGGCACCTGAAGTAACTGCACTACTGACCAGTGGTCTTATACTTGTATAGTGCTTTTCTATGCATTGCAGCACACTCAAAGCACTTTCACACTCTTTGCCCATTCACCCATTCACACTCCCAAGCGCTCACACATTTAATGCACCAGTCTCATCACTGGGAGCAACTGGGCGTTCAGTGTTTTACTCAAGGACACTTCGACATGTTGACTGGACAAGCTGGGAATTGAACCACTATATGTTTTGTACATATTATATGTAGAGTGAACATTTTCTATGAAATTATTTCATCTCTTGCCTTTTAGAATTAAATATTGAATCATACACACACACACACACCCAAACTTAACTAATTCCAGCACAAAAGATGCAGCCTTTATTTTGCTGAGTCATGCTTAGACTCTGACGCCCCCTTCATTCTTTCATTCTACAGAGATTTGTTCAGTGAGGCTGAATAAATGTGCTGTGACAAGGACACTATGAATATTTTAGATATCTGGGCCCAGCAGTAACACAAGGGTGACTGCTGTGTGGACAAAGTTGGAGGCAAGCAGAGGTCTTGGCAAGAATTTAGAGTGACACTAAAGTGTTCAAAAGCCTGGTACTTTACTTTTTAAAAATGTGTTTTAATTTCAGGGATGTCCTTAACAGCCACTGATTTCCTGTTTAGTGTAAATGTGACACCATAGCTTTTTTCTTGTTTAGTTTTGCATTAACTTAATGTACTGGAAAGGATTTCATTTTGCAGTCTGACCTAATTGTCGGATATCTTTTCACTTCTGCAGCACATTCACACCGTCTCATTCTTCTGTCAGCACAGTAAATGCAGTAGTTAGAACATCAAAAGTGTACGTGCCTTTTGGAGTCTCCCTACCCCTCAGCCTGGGGAACTGAAAAATAAGAACAGTGCCACGTGAGTGTGGAGTTACATAGTCCTCTGATAAGGTGCAGATAATTTGCTTAATTCATTAAGTGAACCTTCTCATGACAGGCCAGTAACACTGAGGTGGTGGGTTTTCAGCAGGGCCAGCTCAAAGTTGAGTATCTAAGTTATATATCATGTCTATGCGTGGCCTTTATGGTCTTGAGGCCTCAGATGTCACAGTCTATATGCATTTATCAGACTTCAGAGAATGGTGATTATTCTCTTCATTATAAGAATCCAGTAATGTTTTATTAACATGGATATTATGAAATATGTTGTGAGGCTCGTAAAAAAAATTCTGTCAGTGCTTCATTTACTGAAGAACTGATGTCATCTGGATGATGACTGAAACACTTTCTTACAGCCACATTAGATCATGAACATCTTCCTATTAATTCATTCATTCATTCCCCAAATATATTCATTGTACAGCCCTAACACACTTAAAACAATGTCATCAAAATAACCAAATTAACAGTTCAGTCATACAACCATACACATAAAATACAAAGGTATATGTGATTAAACATGAGTGATACAGAAATACTTCACATCCAACCAGTCAAGTCACTATGTCAGCATGTGAATGAACCTCTGATAGTGTGGTGTGAAGTGATGTATGCTGAAATTAATTGCTCACATTTGGCTACATTTAACTAAAAACATTAAAAACCATATCTAAAATCACATTTTTATAAAGCATTACATTGATATCTATACATTTTCTATCTCAAAGGCAAAATAGAGCTGTTAATTTGATTATGCACCACTTTACAGTCTGCAGTCTATTAAACTGCCTCTGCATAATGAAGCAGCAATGTGAGCTGATAAGTTACAGCTAACACCTTCTGGTATAAGTGATAATTGTGACTATGCAAACCCACAAAGGCTGACTGTAGTCAGATACCCTCTCTAGTTTTCCTCACCACTGTTCCTGACTCGCCTCTATTCCCTCCAGGAGGAAGATTCACAAGAGAGTCACAGGAGTTGAGCTGTCTGTCTCATGAAAGTACACAAAACCCCTATCAGATTCTCACTTTCACACTCTCCACCTATGTGAGGCCTGACCCACTTTTAGGAAGTGGGTCAGCTGAGGAAGATTAGAACACATGCACACACATTGCATCTTTAGGGGTTCTCCCAAGTTAGGACCATTTTAACAATGTACAATAAGGGTGATCACAGCAAGACAAAAGTAAGCAAAAGAATAAAAAGTCACTTTTGAGTATAGTCATGTGCTTCATGCCTCACCTGTATTTCTAATTCTACGAATGTCCTGGATGTTTTTGGAAATGTCAAATGAAACAACAAACAGTCTCCAG